CATCCGCTAAATGTATGCAAGTCAGAGAAGAAACTGGAAGTCTTGGACACTTAAGCCTCTAGTTTTCTGTGGTTAGATTAAAAAGGGGGACTCTCAGTGAAGGGTCTGAGCAATGTTTGCCTGTAAAAGGTGCCTGATGAGTGTTTACTATTGCTCCCGCTGTGTGTGTGTGTGTGTGTGTGGGGGGGGGGGTTGGACACCCCAAGTGAATGGTTCTCCTGCGGATAATGAAAGTTGTCTGCTTTGTGTGTGTGATGTGTGCACTATAAAGCAAGACACTAGATCCTGTTTCTCGCCCACCACTTCATTGTGAGTCCCCATTGGAAAGCAACGTCATGGGACCCTGAGCCCAAACGCCCAGCCATGCTCCTCCTCAATTCTTGATCCATGGGGCTTTGGGAGATAATGACTGTTGTTCTCAGCCACTGTTTTGGGTTATTCGTTATACAGATAACTGGAAGAGAGGAAATGTGGAGAAATAGTAAAATATGTAAAAGGCAAGCATCACTTGAAGCTAAATCTTTTTTTAAAAAAAATTTAGTCACCGTGAAATTACAAAATGACACCTGATTAGGTTTCAGGCATACAATGTCTCAACGCCAATTCCTTCACCAGTGCCCACTTCCCTCCACCAATTTCTCTTCCCACTCCCCTCCCCATCTGCCTCCCACTCTGCCTCTACAAGGGTTTTATTTATTTATTTATTTATTTATTTATTATTTTAGGTTTTTGGTTCATACCTACTGATGCTCAAAGGTTACTTCTGGTTCTGCATTCAGAAATTACCCCTGGCGAGCTCATATAGGATCCCAGGGATCAAACCCGAGTTGGGTGCGTCCAAGGTGCCCTACTTGCCATATTGGGTGGGCGCCCTACTTGGTTGGGTGCCCTACTTGCTGTATTATCACTCTGGCCCCAAGGGGCGCTTTTTAAATACATGTTTTGTGCTGTGGTTTCTGGTCCTGTTGTTGATAGGGTTTCATACCTGACACTTGGCCACCTTTCAGCACCGCCTCCTCCTCCCAGTTAGCTGAACCCTTCCCTCTACCAAGCCATGGCCCCCTCCCTGTCCTACTTCCAAGCTCCCCCCAGCCCCCAGGGCATGTTTCCCACTAAACACCAGTTCTCATGTTCTTTGTTTCCATCATCTTAGAGTATTTGTTATCCCCCCATTATGTTTCCTATACCCTGAATATGAGAGACATCATTCTGTGTCGATCTCTCCCTCTGACTTACTCCACTCAGCATGACATGCTCCAGGTCCCTCCATGTTGCCGCTAAGTCTTTCAAACCATAATCTTCAGACATACACTGAGAGGAATGGAGAAAGACCCCAGTAGAACCTCAACTCAGAGCTCAGAATGCACTGATAGGGGCCAGGTCTTCTGGGTGGAAGCTCAGAGTTCTCCAGGCAGAATTGCTGAGGACAGTGGGGGGCAGGAGCCCCACCATGAAGCTGCACTTATGGGGCAGGCACAGTCCCTACACAACTACATGATGGCTTGGGGCAGTTCTGGCAGTGTGATAAGATGCTCACGAGGTCACTCGACGTGGCTGAGATACGCCCCTCAAAGTCTCCCACTGGCTGCTGTTCTTCTCCTCCCTTTCCTTTTAGTAAAACAGAGTGAACCAGGGACTGGGTAAACAACTTGAAGGGCAGGAGTGCATGCCTGGCATGCATTAAGCCTCAGCACTGCATGCCTCCCTCCCACTGTGCAGCGCTCAACCAGATGAGCCCCTAGTGGTCCCCATGTGTCTCCAGGAGAGTCCTGGGGGCGTTCAGCACTGCTTCTCTGAGTCAAGCATTGAATTGTCTAGTTCAGTTGGCCCTGTATTACCAGCAGTGGCTTCCAGGTTCCCTACATTGGAGCCCTCCTCTGCCAAATAAACAAACAAAAAATACCACCACCACATGAAGCAGTTCCTCGTTCCCGAGTACAAGATATTAGACTGTGATTAGAGTATGATTGCTTCCATGTCACTGTTTTCTCTTCTCTGGCCAACTTACACGCTTCAAAATTCAGACCAGGTTCTCCCCAACTCCAGGAGGCTACTCAACTAAGTCCTCCTTCTGCACATACAGTGATAGGTTCTATTCGAATCTAACAGTGAAATTCATGTCGCTCTAGAGCACGTATGTGGAGCCAGGTATAAGTGATGGAGTTATAAATGATTCTATGTGTGTCTTTACTACCCAAGGCCTACCTTGTCACTATCACGGATGTTGTGCAAATCAGCATGTAAAGACAAGTTGCCTTCCAAGGCTGAATTTGGCCCATATTCTTCCCCAATGTTTACTGGAAATCTCTCTCCAATCATTGACCTCCTGAGAGAATCCTTCATCAGAACCTCTTTCCTGACACTTTTCCTCACCTTGAACCCTCATCCTTTATACCTTCCCACTGCAGTCCATCTCTGCTGGCTTAGACCAGACTCACACACACACTCCTACTAGACTTCCGGTCCAGGCTGTCTGCTCCAGGGAGGGAGGCTCTGTCACCCCCACCCTGTGAGGGGAGGACAGCCCTTCTTGGGCCAGAGACAGGTCAGGGAAAGCAGCATGTCCTCCCCCTGTCAGCACTTACAAAGTTGGCAGTGATGCCGAGAGCGCTTCCACAGGGTCAGCGGCTCTGCCTCCAGCAAGCCTGCCAACTCGCCAGTCTGAGATGCATTCAACAGGTGAGGGCAAGATGAGCTTGGCTGCTTTAAGGATAACCTGCCAAGGTCCTCAGACGCGTGCTGTGCCCTTGAAGGGGGTCATCCTCAGGAGCAGTTGCTTTTCATCCACCCAGCAGGTGTGGATCATCAAATAAATATCCTAATGTCTTTCAGCCAGGAATAAATATCTGGCAGGGAACAGGAAGGACACAGGCTCACTGCGCGAGGTGAAGAGCTGAGAAGTCTTCTCCCCTTTCATGGGGGGGGAGACACAAAATGATGGTTAATAAGAAGCTTCCTTCCCTGCTATCCAGTGCCCTCCTGTCCACGGGGCTGCTCTATTCCCCCAGCTAAGAAGCTTCCAAGAGAAAAGGATCTTAATAACTTCATTTCATTCCCAAAAGGTTTAACAAACAGGATCCCTCAAACCTTGTACCACAAAGACATTTCGGGGAGGGGGGAGTGCCCATAAAACTTTGATGTCAGAAACAATCACCGTAGTAGGCAGATGTAGCTTACTTGGCAGTATCTCTGCCCGCGCAGGATTATCCCAATTTCTCACTTTTTGGGGTGGAGTTTGACCCACACAGCTGTGTTCAGGGTTTACTCCTGGCTTTGTGCTCAGAGGTCACTCCTGGTGGTGCCTGGGGGACTATATACAGTGATGAGAACTTGAATCAGAGTTGGCTATGCACAAGGCAAGTGCCTTAACTCCTGTTCTATCCTCTGCTCCCTTTCTCTTTTTCTTTAGAAAAATTTCTTTAAAATTGAATCACAGTGAGATACAAAGTTACAAAGCTGTACTTGATCAAGTTTCCCGGGTTTCAGTCATACAATATTCCAACACTGGCACCTTCACCAGTGTACATTTCCACCACCAATGTCCCCAGTTTCCCTCCTACCACCACCCCTCACCTCCATCCCCTGCCCCTGCAGTAGGCATTTCTCTCTCTCTCTTTCTCTCTCTCTCTCTCTGTTTCTCTCTCTCTCCACCCAATCTGGGCACTATGGTTTGTAATATAGGTATTGTCTCTGTCCCCTTTTACACTTAAATTTCCTTCCTTCCTTCCTTCCTTCCTTCCTTCCTTCCTTCCTTCCTTCCTTCCATCCTTCCTTCCATCATCAATACAATTCTCATATTTTTGCCGGGTGCATTATGGTTTGTAATATAGGTATTGTCTCTATCTCCTTTTACACTTAAACTAACTTTCTTTCTTTCTTTCTTTCTTTCTTTCTTTCTTTCTTTCTACTAGTCATCAATACAATTCCCATATTTTTGCCAGGTAATTCAGGAGATGTTAAAATTCAGTAATTTGTGGGTTTTCATGTCTGTAAAATTAGAATTTAACAGCACAGAACATTTTGTTCTCAAACAGTCTCAAGCCTTACTACCATTACATGCCAAATTCCCAAGTATCGCTGGATCCAAATACTAAAAAAACAGCGATAAGGAAACATAAGCATGTTGCTTAGCCCTGACTACGAAAGTATGCGTACACCTTAAAAGAAAGAATACTTGGACTCAGATGTGGTTTTGGTTTTAATTTTATGCATATTACTTATGACTCTCAATGCCAAAGGTAATTCCAAAAGCACCATGAACACAAGGCTCGTCAGGTGACACTGGAAAGCTTAACTCGTAATTATTTCAAGATGAATTGCGCAGCCACCACAATTTTCTACTTACATGAAGGTTCTCTAATATAATGGTGGGTTGGATTGAATCAGAGTTTTCTGATTTCCTAGTGTTCTCCAGATGTCCAGATACCATTTTCCCGACTGCTGCACCTGACCATTCCCTGAGCCAGCCTTTACTAAACTGTTTTCTTCTGTCGACTTGAAATTGACTTTTTACAGGAAAATAGAAAGCTTAAGGCATCTCATATCAAGCAATATCAGTAAAATGTTGAAATATTTAAGTATGCTCTCTTGTGAAAATAACTGGGTTAATGGAGAAGCTGTTCATGCTGAGAAGAGGTGTGACAAATGGTGGGTTGGTCATTTCATTTGAGAAATGCTTATCAAGTTTACTATGTACAAGGTTCTCTTGCACTACTGTAGCAAAACAAACAAAGTTCCTTTTCTAAAGGATCTAACATTATTATCTTTTTTTTCTTTGCATTTTGGTCACATTCGGTGATGTACAGGGGTTCCTACTGGCTCATGCACTCATGAATTACTCCTGGCAGTGCTCGGGGGACCATATGGGATACTGGGAATCGAACCCAGGTCAGCTGCATGCAAGGCAAACACCCTACCCACTGTGTTATTGCTCCATAATTATCATTATTCATAATCAGCTCCAGCCCTAACATCATCATCATCATCATCATCATTGTTGTTGTTCTATGGAACGCTTTACAAATTTGCGTGTCATCCTTGCACAGGGGCCGTGCTAATCTTCTCTGTATTGTTCCAATTTTAGTATATGTGCTGCCGAAGCGATGGGGAGGGATCACGTTTCTGGAATCCTATGAGCTAGAAAGAGTTACTGGCAGATTCAGGACACCAGATGATAAGCAGCTGGGGAGAGGAAGAAGGATGGAAGGAAAGGGATGGATGTCCAAAGCCATGAAGAGCGCTAAAGACCACTGGTCATTTTGTCTATGGTCTTGGGCTAGCAATCCTCATGGACTAACAGGAAATGATGCCCTGGCCCCTACACACAGGTTATTCAGAAACACTGCAGCATTTATTTTCCATTTGGGTGAAAGTAGGAGAATTGGTAAAGAGGCTCCTCAAATATCTTATTCATAATCACTGTAGCACTGTCCTCCCATTGTTCACTGGTTTGCTGGAGCAGGCACCAGTAACGTCTCCATTGTGAGACTTGTTGTTACTGTTTTTGGCATATCGAATATGCCATGGGGAGCTTGCCACGCTCTTCCATACGGGCGGGATACTCTCGGTAGCTTGCCGGGCTCTCTGAGAGGGGTGGAGGAATCAAACCCGAGTTGGACCCGAGTTGGCCACACGCAAGGCAAATGCCTTACCCACTGTGCTATCGCTCCATAATTATGATTATTCATAATCAGATTCTTAGAAAGCAATACTGATTGTATGAATAAAACCTATTGATAGAGGTATCCTCTGATTTTTAAACAGATGCTTTCCTTTGACCACGCAGTTAGGTTTCTTGGAGGCAGCCTGCAGGATGAGAAATGAGCAAGCATCACATTTCAAGCCAGAAGCATGGAGCTCTGAAGGCTGACAGACTGGAATAGCCACAACCCTGGGCTGAGGCTGGGAAAATTGTCTGCCTTTGGAGCAAATCACTAAACTTTGCTAAGCCTCAGTTTTCTCATCTGTAAAAGAAGATAATTATGCCTCCCTTACGGGTTCGCTCCCAGGGTTAAATGGAACGAAATGAGATAATGATTGTATAGCACTTAGCATTTAAGTGCTCTTAAAATAAATGGCAATTAAGATGACAACAGTAATCATGCCGATAATGATGATTAAAAAATCGTATGCAAGGTTCTTTACTTCTGAAACTGAGAAGGAAAACCCTGGCTTATAGGTCCCTAAGATCACTTACAGCTTTTTAAGCCAGTACCCATACTCAATGGGGCTGCCAAGGGCTGGTGTTGGACAAAGACCTATGGAGGAAGAGGCAGGTACGTGCATCCCCGGCCCCATAGCTGATGCTGCTCAGTGACGCTGTGACGCTGGGAACAGGCCCCACCCCGAATACCCACTTAGACAAGTGGATTATTCGGATTATTCAGTGCTATGTTCAGTGAAGGGACTCTGGGCTCATGAGAAACTTTCACCACTCACTTACCTGCCTACAACTATACAAGTTGTGAGTCTTACTCACTATTAGGATTTTTAAAATTCAGAAAGACACCTTCCTATTGAAGAGCCATAGGGACATGGCAGGACAGACAACTAACCCCAGAGCATCTGGCCTTTGTCACTTGAGTCCTGGTCCTCTCTTCTTGAAGCCCAGGGCCCTTATCCTACGTTAGTCCAGGGCAGAATCTACATTCATGCAGACAGTCCATATGTATGCCATTAAGTTCATTTTTTTTTCTCTCACTAATCTTTCTGATGTTTATTTGGCTGATCCGGTGGCCCAGGGAGAATCCAGAGGAGTAGGGAGAAACATACTTTCTGCTCCTATGTTAGCCATCTAAAAGCTTCTGAAAGGCCTGGGCAGAGAGAGCATTTCAGATATTCTAGGGAGCTGTGGGACATGGAAATGGTAAGGGGTGACCCTTAGGGTTGAATTCCCATAGCAGGAACAGGAGAAAGGAAGTCAGTGAAACAGGTTCCTCACATCTGGGGTTGGTTTTATAGGCCTCTGAAGCTTTTGCACAATTGGCTTTTGTGTCATTTTACTTTCCCTTTTTATTTATTTTGTTAATTAATCTTTCCCTTTTAAATTTTTTTTGCTGGCTGTACTCAGGCCTTACTCTTGATTCTGTGCTCAGGGATCATTTCTGGCAGTGCTCAGGGTCCATACGCAGTACTAGGGAACAAACCAGGGCCCCGGGAAAGGCAAGCACCTTGACCCTTATACTATCTCTTTGGCTCTGACATCACTCAATTTTAAAGGTCCTCAACATCTACCAACTGAATTTAAACAGAGAGAGAACAAATCCTGACACCTGAGCCCATTGAAGCTGCCTATAGTAGTGATCAAACTCCCTTCGACCTCCACGAGTCTCTGTTCTCAACATATGTGAGTGTTCAATGTGCATTTGGGGAGGTAGAGCAGAAAGTAAGTGGTGAGTCCAAGGCCTGGGGGCCACTGCCAGACTGGCTCTCTGTCACGCACTGTGTCCCATGCAGCCTTCATAGGCTTTCATCCCCCCTCACCATTTATTTTCTGTTTTGGGATTATATAGGTAGTTGGGCTTATGTATTGATTTATATTATGTGGCTGGATTATATAATTTAGTCCATCAATGGTTATTGAGTCTTATGTGACTCTGGCAGAGAAACCATACGAAGATGACCATTTCCATCCTGCAGTTTTCTGCAAGTTGGATGGAACTAGAGGGCATCACATTAATAAGTGAAATGAGTCATAGAGAGAAGGACAAAGGCCAGAGGACCACACGCATCTGTGTTACATAGAGAGGAACAAAAGGGACTAGATAGTATCAGATGATGATAAACACAGGCCCTGTGCAGCAAATGCTTAATTATTATATACTTATGGACCCTAAGTTGCATAAAAATTTCTAGGGGGAAAATGGGTGGCAAGCGAAGAAAATTTAGGAGGCGTTGGCTGGAAGAAATGATTAAGCAAATTATGGAAATTCCACTTCCCTGAGACCCTAAGTGTCCAGTTGGAGGATGAAAATCAAATGAGGAGGACAAGGAAGAACAAGGACTAAAGCAGACAAACCAAGGGTGGGAGAGACAGTACAACGGGTGAGGCCTGAGTTCAACCCATGGCACTACATATGGTCCCTGTAACCCCTCCAGGAGTGACTCCTGAACACAGAGGCAAGATTAAACCCTGAGCACAGCCAGGTATGGGGGGAATAAAATTAACCTCCCAAACAGGCAACCACCAAGAGGTCACTGGATGGTAGGAAGGAAGAGTAGGGGGGTGTCTGCGTTGTGGGTTCCCTTTAATAGATTCATTTTCTGTGGGAGCTCTAGAGGACTGTGGACTGTCTTGTTCTGGGAGGTCTGGGAGAAACAGACTATGTTGCAGGAAACCAGTTTCTGACGGTCCTCACTTTGTTGGCATCTTCCCCATCTTGTTCCCCAGAGGATGCAAGATGGTGGTGGACAGAAGCATCCTGCCCATGGACATGGTCAGAATGGGGTCTGGGGCTGTTTTTCCCTTTACGTGTGATATTTGGAGCAAGCGTGAAGTTCACTGAGCCTGGAGATGGTGCCTGTGGCAGTGACTTACTGGCAAGAATTTACTGAACAAATGTCAGAGGTGATTGTAAGTAGGAGTTGGAATGCCTTTCATACAATAAGCCGAACAGAATGCTGAACACTACTATAGGGCATGAAATGTTACCGACACTGACATACCTTGAGAACAGAAAATTTTTCCTCACAGTAAGCAAAGCCTGATTCAAAAAAAACCCAGTACATTTGTTAAACTGAAAATCCTCGAAATCACTCCATAGTAAGGGCTTTTTTTACACAATCTAATGATTTGGGATTTCATCAAATTAGTGTTACTAGATATGCCTTATAATTAGGAAAAATGTTTGAAAAGTTTTTAAAAATGAGACTATTCATTAACGCATAGATTTTTCCCCCACAGATTGGAAGCCTGAATTTAAATGAAGCCCAAAAATATAACTAGGTGCGCTCAAAGCGAGAAGAACTGCTTGTGAGCCTTTAAATGGAATGCAGCAGTTTAAAATGCTATTACTACTCAGATTCTCCTGAACATTAAAACTGCCCATTAAATGAAAATCTAATAATTGGCCTTACTGAATTGTGACATTCTGTAACCTGTTCAGAAATGCAGAAAATTGTGGAAGAAAAGTTCTTTTGAGGCAGAATTTGATTTGCAATGTAATAATATCCCAAAAGCCAAGGTCCTCATGCTCATATACACAAAAGAACAATAATGCAAACCCACTAATAGAGCTGAGGGAGATTCTGGGAGTCAGAGCTAAGCTCTCTGACTCTAGACTCTCCAGAGTAAATTACTAATGTGGGGAAAATGTAACCAGTAGTAGCTCAGGCTTACAGAGCATTGGTAGAATACATGCATTGCATGCATGAGGTCCTTGGATTTGATCCCTTCCCAACAGATACCTATCTCTTATTACCCCAGTGAAGACATATCTGTTGAAGAGTGTTAGGGGCACTAAGTTGGATGATCGTTGTACATCAGCCCTTTCTCTATGCCAATCCAGGTTTCCCACTTTGTCTTTTTTCCTGATTTATTTGCCAGTAAAGTTATCAGACAATACCAGGGAACCGGTTACTGGGAAGAAATGGAAATGCTGAAAGGAAATGAAGACAGAGAATTATCTAGAATCTAAAAGAAGGAAGGTGAGTGAAACAAGGGAGAAGTTAGCAGGAGAAAGGTGGTGAGATCAGGTACATGATGAGGCCCCTATCTCTTACCTCAGCTAATCCCTAAAAATACCACCTTAGGAAATCTGGGGGCCAGCAAGCTCATGGTTTAGAAAGCAACTGACAGCGTTGGGGGCAGCCCAAAGTTTCTCACTGGATTTCTACCCATAAATCAAGACTTATTCTTTGTATTCCTATGGAGGATACTGTGTAAGCATTTTAAATATCTCTCTTCAAGAGAACAACTGATGTCAATGGGAAGTGCTCACTGCTAATAGGACTGCTAGAAAAATGAACCTAAATACAACCTGAGTCTTGCATGAATATAATGAGTAGCATTTATTAATATATCTGGTCTCAGTGTTAATTTCTTAAGGGTGAAATATTTTAAATAAACCTCATCACGCAAAAGTTTAAATTCTTATTTGGAATAT